CCTATATTAAACCTACTCTGCTCTTGGAAGGTTGGTTTCCACTCTTCATTTTGAGTGATAAGTAATGTGGCAGCACCTTCAACCTTGGGTGTGTTTACCTTAAAGACAATTCTCTGTTTCCTGAAAACTGTCCCCTGCCCTGCTGAAATAAATCGTGAGCATTAACTTCAGACACAGCAGCACACTGATCATTCCTCGGGAAGGTGTGGATCTCAGCTGTACTTATATATGACAAAAATGACAGGACACCTCCTCTTCCGAGCAGCACAAATAATTACCACAACTTTATCCAAAAGTTGAGCAGCAGCTCACTCTGGTGGCTAAAGCAAAGTAGTGCTGCTTTTGGTCGAAGATCGCTGGGGTTAGTGAGCAAGAAGCCTCTGTGTATTGCAAGAGTGCGGTGTGGCAATACTAGCAGTGCTGCCTATTTTTCTCAAAAATAAATAAGGAGAGGTGGGGCAACTGCGACAAGTTACTCATCATTCCCAGCTCCTTGTGCAGGCCAAGAGGACTCCTTAGCTAACAGCTGTAAATAATTTGCTGTGAGTTTAATAAAATAATTTGTGTTATATTAATGCTCTACAGGAATGTGTCATGCCTGCGGAGGACAGGCATTGGAAACACTGTAGGGAAAATGAGGCACTTGTGCAACACTCCCATCATTGCGTAGTGTTTGCTGGACACTGTTTTGGCAAGATGCAGTCCTAAGCAAACAGTTTGTCTGAGGCAATTGATCACTTGTAGCACTCTGCTCAGCTCTTATGGTTTAAAGGATGGTAATCTTTGCCTCCCTGGATGATCATTAACCTTGTAAACGATCACTGAAGATGTGTGCTGGGTCAAACCTCTGCTGAGAGAGGGAGTGTTCACTGCAGCTTGGTTTATCTTCAGTTTGACTTCCCAGCTCTCAGCCCTCCTGGGGAATCACATAGGTCCCTGCTCACGATGAGATAAGCTGCAGCATCATGGTGCCTGGAATTTAATTTGGGAGCCTGTGAGTGGCACTAAAACTGACAGAACAATCCTCTTAGAGCAGCATGTGGCTGAATCTTAGCATTAAAAATAAACATCAAGTAATAAGATTCACGGTGAGCATCCACAGTATCTTTATTCAGCTTCCCCAAGGCAGATCTGGGTCTTGCCCTCCCGATTCCCCTTATGTGTGTGCCAGGGTGAGTGCATGCACACGTGTGCCTGTCTGCTTGCTTCTCCAGCTCTCTTCACACCTACCAATATTTTCCTTCCTCTTCTCTAGAAAAAGTTTTGAAATCATTTATTCAAAATTTTTCATTTGTGATGGCTTGATTTGTCTTATAAGCATAGCAAATCTTCTGCCTTCCCATCACTCTGAGTCTTGATGAACTACTTGTGTTTCAAAAGATGTGACACCAGGCAAAACTAAATGCTAATAAACTTCCCTTCTTAGGTTGCAGATTCCGGGCACTGTACTCTGACTCTCCAAACAGAAGGTTCTCCAAGCATCAATAAGCGCACTTATTCTTTTTTTTTCTTGCTTTGTTTTGAATACTTAGACTGTACCAGCCTCTATTTTCAGTTCCTAGATCACCTTTGTGATACATTTCTCTTGTAAACCACTTGCTTACCAGTAACATCCTCTGCTACCAGTACCCATCTACTAAAAGCGTACCCTTACCTACACGCAGACTATTTCTTCTCAACTACTACTGTCCTTTTACCATGTCAGTACCTGATAAAGTAGTAGCTTTGGAGGTTTCAAGTGTTCTGTTATGGTCACAGATGATTTGCTGTCAATGTGTAAGTATGTTTTGTCTAATGATTTCTCATTTACAGCACTGTAGTCTCTCCCTGCAATCTTAACACTAAACTCTCCTGTCTCCTACATGGGTAGAATCAGCAGCCCCAGGGAGACATGACCCTGGTTAATACTCATGCAACCCACACATGCACCTCTGCTGCCTCATTGCCTTAAACAGGCACATTTCAGCTCTGAGCTTCAACTAACAATTCTCATGATAAGTAAAAGAAGAAGCAGGCCTCGCACGCTCATTGGTAAAAAAGTAATGACATGGAAACAACACGGTGCTGAAATCAGCAGACTTCATTTAAATGAAGGTAGACCAGAGGCCACTGGGTGAGAAGGTGTTGCTTGTATAGTGATAGTACCCTAAGCAGTTAACTAGTGCCTCTTTTCACTGCCACGTTCTTGCTACTAAAGCTGCTTTTGTTTAATTTGAGGATGTTGATAACACCCTATTTATGTCCTTAATAGAATAGCTCCCTGGATCATCTCCATCTTTTTCAGTCTGTTTCTCTTTCCAATTTTTAATTCATGTGACAGTTAACTTGCCCCTTCCCACCCCTTTAGCTCACCTTCAGCTACTCTCTACTGTGCCATGGATATGCTGCTCTCAGAGATGCAGTCACCCTCAAATCTTTCCCCTCTGGCACTTTGCTCTTCAAAAGACCTAACCTTTCTGAGGAGGTTATTTGAGTTTTTAAAGTCCGTTACCTTGTGCCAAGGGAGCAGTTTCACCTCTATGTGAGTCTGTAATCAGAACAGGCTGCTGCTCTCCATCGTCACCAGACAGCTCAGCTGAACCCAATGTCCTTATTCTGTCTATTCAGTCAGTAGGATCTTGGCTTTGTAAAATGGAGTTCAGCTGATCAAGAGAGGGAACAGAAAAATGAAACTCACTGAACTCCAAATACTTGATTATGAGCTTGTGTGTGCCAGATGTGATCATTCATCTGCCACTAGTGCTTGGGTCCTGCAGCCTCCTTCAGTTTGAACTTTCAGTTTGTGAAAGCAGTGTTTCATCAGCATGCTGACTCAGCAGTTCCTGTTTCCACAGCTGAAGCAAACCACAGCAGGTAGGGGCAAGAGAGAGTACGAATAACACAGGACCCACAAAGTGCATGAACACTATGCTGCTAGTGGAGAAAGGGAGCACATTACCTCCCTGTTTTCTGGTATGGTGGCATGCAAGGTGCCATATTCAAAGTCACTGATAGTTTAGCACATCAGAAATACTTTTGACTTTGGACACTTTTAGAAGGTTGTTCTCCTTGAATCCAGTCACAAGACCTCACGTTTTCATATGTTTACTAGTGCTAGATGAAGTCTAGCACAGCCTCGAGGTCCCTAGGCATGCTCCTGGGTATAAATTTTCTCCCTCTCTTTTTCTCTTAAAAATTGTGAAACCAATACAAAGTCTCCAAAGCTGCTCTCAGCTGAATATTGCACAGACAGACTTCTAACAAAACTCTGAAGTACTTGCTCTCTGGAAGTCAAGTCCCAACCACAGAAAGGGCAATCATACACTGCTTTGAAAAAGATTCTCTAAAATAAATGTACTTCAGTCCCTGATAAAGTATAAGGGACTGACACAGCTATGAAAAAAATCCAACTTCCAGGCAAGCATTTCCGTGCTCACTGCAAGAGTCCTACTGAGTACCCCTGGCTGTAGATGGGTTGTCTACAGCAAGGACAGAACAATTCCATTGTTACCATGGACAGGCCAGCCTGACCAGCAGGAAACAGTCCAAAGGAGTTCCTAGGCTACTGTGAACAGTACATAATACTGTGATAATGGGCTACTCAGTGGACTCCCCATAGAGGGACAACTGTTTCCTAGCAAGAGTTGTCACCATTTCCTGTCATCCCAGCACAGATTTCCCATTGCAGCACATCTTCCCAACTTCTAACAGCCAGATCTGTATCAGTGTTTGCTTCTTATCCCATACGGAGCCTGGAATAAACACATCAGATGGTATTTCTCTGGTATGTAGACAAGAGGAAGCTGTTTGCCTCTATGTGACTTTTCAGCTAACCAATGACCCAAATGCAGTATGCTGTGCTTGGGAACCTCATGTGGATTTGCGACCCTCTTTAGAGAGTTTTGGGTCTGTAAAGATAGTAAACACAGACTACCTGCAGTTTTACTATTTGTGAGCACTGTAATTTTTGCTCTACACTGTGTGCATGGGTCAGAAAGGGGTACACATAAAAAAATTTTACCAGTTTTTGTGTTTGTCTTGCAATGCTCCAACCATGCAATGACACAGAAACAGAGAAATGACCTACACAAAAACCTGGCAAGTTTTCCAACCTAACGCTGATCAGTAATGCCATTGCTCTTATGACAGCATGTCTCACCATAATGCTGTGCCTTTAGGCAACTGCTCATCTCCTGGTGAAAACATGAAAGTAAATTGCAGCAGGTTAGCTTAGTACACGGGTTACTCAGTCTTTGACCTTTCTGGGACATGTTGCTACAAGTGAATGAAGAGCACATTTCAATTTTTCAGGACACCTGTCCCTAACATTCATATATTTTAGATAACAGTATTATATAGCTGATGGACTGCACCATGTCCATGCATGGAGTAAACAAAAAACATCCCAACACCTCCAAAACGTAAAATCCTACAGAGACAAAAATATGTGAGATCAGTGTGTTGGCTCAAATAGACACTAAGGACACGGCTCTTGCCCTTCAACCCTTGCTTCTTATATGTACAAGCTACTCCATTACATATACTTTGGGCATTTTTTCATTCAAAACCTCAGTGCTGGACCTAAAAAGATTAACAGAAATTTTGTTTCTGGAAAACTTAGTCAAGCTGAGAGGGAAAAGGGAGCAGACTTGATTGGTTCTCTGGCAAAGCAATCTCTGTGTGAGTTAATTGAGGAATGAAGCACAAATACCTTCTGGGGCATCATGTAGAGAGAGGTAATTGACCTTCCCACATCTCGGTATACTGCCAACCTTAACAGGGAAAAAGCAAGTACCTCTTTCCCACTGTTTTATTATGTTTCTACTCCACTCTGTGTGTCTCTGCCTGCTGCCTTGCCATTCCCCAGGCTCCACTACCCCTTCCCTGCTGGCTGCGATCAAGGCCATCGGAGGCAGGTAGGGAAAACGAGGTGCATGGAGAGCTTTGTGGTCGAGTGGAGCCGCGTGAGCAGGGGTGAGAGGAGCCCTGTGCCCAGCCTGAGGGCGGGCGGCTGTCCCGGAGCAGGGCAGGGGCCGGAGCTGTCCCTGCGGAGCGGGAGAGCCCAGCGCATCTCTGCCCTCTGGCGCTCCCGAACAAGGGGACAGCGGCGGCCAAGAGGGCACGGAATGCAGAGCTGCCCCTGCGGCTGAGGCCATGACCGGGGAACCGGTGAGGGTCTGAACGGGACGAGTCCCCGAAAGAGCTCCCAAAATCACGGTTCAGGCCGTTGGCGCTTGGGGACCTGGACCCGTCTCCCTGTAAGGGGGGGGGGGGGGGGGGGGGGGGGGGGGGGGGGGGGGGGGGGGGGGGGGGGGGGGGGGGGGGGGGGGGGGCTACGTCTGTAACTTTGACCAGTGTGATCTCCCACCGGGCACAGGAGGAGCGCGGCTGCGGGCGGGGCACGGCCACCACCAGAATACCTCGCTGCCCGGGCAGGACCACCCTGCGGGCGCCTCCCCGGGCCGAGGGGCACCGCGCCCCCCGGGGGGCGGGAGGCAGGGGCAGGGGGCGGGCACCCCTCGCGGGGGCCCGGCCCGGCCCGGGGCATGTGCGGCGGCGCGGGAGAGGCGCCCCAGAGCCGCGGCGCCGCTTCCTGCCGCTATAAATAGCCGCCCGGCCCAACATGTCCCGGCCGCCGCAGCGGCTGCAGCGCCCGCAGCGCCCACGGGGCTCGCCGTGCCCTCCCGCCGCCTCGCCCGCACGGAGCGCGGTAAGGGGGCGCGGGGCTGGGGACCCCACGGGGCTCCGCTGCCCGGAGCTGGCGGGGCGGGGGGGTCTCTGGGGCGGGCGGGGCCCCGGCGGCAACCGCGCTGGGGCGGCTCGGCTTCCCCGGCCCCGCGGGACCAGCGCCCTCCGGGTACAAGGGTCGGGAGCCGAGTCTCGCTTCGTGCCTGTCTGCTCTTTCTCTCTTTTCTTCCAGACTGCTCTGTCTTGGGCTGGACGCGTTCCTTCTGCCTCCCGAAGCCGTGCTGGCAGGCTGGGATCCCTCCCCGCGTCCCCTCACTTCCCCCGGGGTTGGGTGCGTGCCCGTGGTTCGGGCGGCGGTGGCCTCCGGGCTCAGCCCCCGGCCCCTCTTGGCAGCTCGGACCGTGCCTCTGCCCGGACAGAGGAGGTGGCTCCTGGCATCCTTGGCCATCCCTGCTGAGGCACAGCCGCGGCTGTGGAATCCCGGCTGGCATGGCAGGGCAGGGCAGGGAGAGCCACACTGGAGTTGTGGCACACGCTGGAGCCGTGGCACACACCGCTGCCCGCACGTGTGGCACCCACGCAGGGCATGATTTTATTTGGTCACACACTCATACAGGTGTTTGTGTGGCAGCCTTCCTCTCTCAAGTGCTTTCATGTGCAGCGAGTGTTGAGGTGGACCTTGTAAGCTTGGCTTTCTGATAGAGTCAACAAAGCAGGTCTCTGCCCTCCGAGTACTCTTGGGGGCTTTTGAAAGGAATCAATTTTGGGAACAGTAAATAGTCTTCGAGTTTTAGTTTGTCTTCCCCTTTGTTTGCTTCTGCTACTCTAATGGCTGCGCTTCATCTTCTAACTAACAGCTCCTGCAAATCAGGATTGTATGCCTCCTCAGAGAGTTGGTGTTCCTCAGCAGCTACCATGTATTCTACTTGAACCTCCTCTTTAAAACAAAAGTGATACAGCAATTGTCTCTGGCAATAAGGTGTGCTTGTTCAGGAACCCACCGTGAGGTGCTTCTAAATTGCTCCTTTACTCTTCTAGTGCTTTCTCGAAGACAGGGCTGTAATAAGCAGCTGTTCTCAGTTGTCTTGACCTCCAGAGAGTGGGCAGTGTGCTCCTTGTTCACACCCTTTTTAATTGTGCCCTTTTACTTTCTCCTCTGTTTTATTTGTCCATTACCTTTTCCAAGCCCAGCTTGGGAGGACAGTGCAGAGACTCAAGAGGCCATCTGAAAAAGAAGAAGTCCTCTCTTAGGACCTGTTTAGCCTCTGTATGTTACCCCCAGTGTGCCCTGCAGTGAAGGCAAGAGGGATGGCAGTGCTGCCCTGGAGGGACGTGCTCTGGCAGTGTACCTTTTCAAGTGCTGTGAAGCACGAGGCAAGCTGAGCTGGCTTGTACTTTCCCCTCTGCTGTGAGGGGAAGGAGCATAGGAGGAGGAAATACAGCTGTTCCAGAGCACTTCTGCCCCATGTGCTGCAGGAGCACGTGAGGGGAGGACACGCAGAAAGGGAGAATCAGGAAGAGAATATGAGAGAGAATCGGGGTGGGGAGTACAGGAAAGCTACAAACTGAGCGGAAAAGCTTTTTATATATGCACAAATGTTATTTAAAGACCTGTTTAGCTAGGGAAGAGCAAATATCCTAAAATTGAGATTGTATCTCTCGAATCCCTGTTATTGTTCCTCCAGAAAGCACTGCTTTTCATTCCTTAAGAATTATGTGTGTCTTTCTGTCTCACTCTTCTAGGCTCTTCAGCATCCTCTGACCTCAAGCTGAGCAGGACGTTGCCCTTAGCATCTGCCTGTCAAATGTGTAGTTCTCCATGTTGTACATGAAATGATTATTTCCATAGTTGGTCAAGGCAAGTTTCCAAGGAATGTGAAGCAAGAGGCATGCCAGTTCCTCTGGCTGGCCTTGACTGGAGTGCAAGTTTTTTGGGGCAGGGGACTGTGCCCTGGAGTCTGTGGTTACTCTACGTGTTACCCTTGTCAGCTTAGGGGTTCCTGCCTCCCCTCCCACCCTTCTCTTATGTCTTATTGCTGCTCACCTGTTCCTCCTGATGCTGTGGCAGCTGCTTCAGCCTCTCACAGTTATTTGTGGGGTTGTGCTGTAAAAAGTGAATTGCTGAGAAGTCAGAAATTTGGGTAAGAGGAAAAGGAGAGAGCAGCCAGTGCTCTGTCTGTATAGAAGGCCCCTCTCAGCCCTGTGCTGACTCTCCCCTGCTTCCTGCTTTGAGATCCCTCACCCCAACTAATAGGAATTAAAACAGTTGAAGCTCTCTAGCTGAGTCCTAACT